GGGCATCAACATGCCCAGCGTCTCTGGGCTGTGTGAGGGGGCATCACCATCAACACAGACCCTCAATGACATCACTGCCACCAGCAAAGGCGTCTGGGGATCGGGCTCCCTGCTTCCCTCGGAAGCTCCTGCACACACAGCGGGCAGGTGTGCCTCGTCCTCACCTGGATAATGTTCTCCTGCATGTCCAGGATGATCAGACTCGCTTCTGTAGCCAGGTTGCCGCTCACCAAGGCCTCTTGGTCCAACTCTGCCTTCGTCCTACGACACGACTGGAGGTCAAAGTGGGCCACGTGGCCACCGTGGACCTGCCCTGACTGTGCCCACTGAGGCACAAGCCTGGACCGTGAACCAGCGAGGCAGCCGGCCACAGGTAACGCATGTGACTTCGAGATTGGTGTGTCCGGCTGGAACGGGGCTCCAGGAAAAGTCTCTGGGCCACCGCCTCCCTGCCGTGACTCACAAAGAAGGTGATGATGGAACTAGCAGGGGAGTTGATTGGGGTGGCTCTGGGGTGGCTCAGCCCGTGGCCTCCCCACTGTCTGGGGCCCTGCCATCCTGCAGGACACCACCGGTCACTACCCATGGCCTGCTGCGTTGTCAACGTGGACCCGTGGCTCCCGGCAAGACAGACGGGAAAACCTTCATGGTTTCTGTGTGTCAGCCTCGTGGCTGCAGATCACCAGGCCTTTCTTCCGCGGCACCTCTGGGTGGACCTGAACCCAGAGCCTGTCAGTGAGCAGCTGAGCAAGGCCTTGACCTTCATGCCACCTGAGCCCTTGAGGACACCCTGGCCGCTCAGTGTCACAGTTACCAGGCAACGGGCAGGTGTGAGGAATGGATGTCCCTGGGATCTGCCATAGGGATGCAGGTCACGCCTCTGCCCCAAAGTTGGGGACCAGACTCCTCTCGTCACATAGCCATCTGGATGCTCGGGAGGCACTACCGTGTGGGAGATGCTTTCATGTTTGGGGGCACCCTGCTGCCCGAGGGGGTCCCACGATCCCCTCTTCATCCTTCCGGCGTGACGTGAGTGGTGTGAAGTGAGCGGTGACTGCCTATGAATTCCTGGGTTGGAGACCCAGACGTGAGGCTGGCTGTGCTTTCTGGCTGCGTTTGGTCAGTGTGCTGGCCACATGGGTTCTTCCTGCTTTTTTTGGCTCTTGGGGCCCCAAAGGAACAGGCCGGGCACAGATATGTGTCCCCCCACCCTTGGAGAGAGGCTGCCTCCTGTGCAGGCCAGTAGCCTGGGACTCACAGCTGGGCTGGGCCAAGGGCAGACGTACTTATCTGGTTTCTCGTTTGCCTGCCGCCAGTGGGTCTGCTCCTTCCTCCAGCGCAGGTTCTCACTGAGGCCTGGGAACCGGTCGTTCCCTGGGAGGGGGCGGGAGGGGTAGAGGAGGGAGGGGCAGCAGGAGAGGGAACTGATGAGCTAGGCGCCTGTCCAGACCACCAGAGGGGCCACCACCCTGATGGAGGCGGGGGACAGGCAGTGCTGGATGCGGGGGTGGGTGGTGGTGGGGGACCCTCACGGAGGATATGATCCCCTGCCTGGCCTTCCCCAGCGGGCAGCCCACTTGCCAGGAACTGAGGGAGCTGCTGGGCAAGCTCCTCGCTTCTCTGTTGGCAACAGTGGGGGTCAAGTGGGGTACCCTTTCTCAAATCACTCCTGGTGGGGCGGGGCACCCTAAGGTGATGTGAGGGGCTGGCTTCTGTTCTAATGATGCTCTCCAAATGACCTGGCCATGGCTGGAAACCACTAGAGTCCACCTCCCGTGTCCTGTGCCATCCTGGGATGCCCACCGTGGCCCCAGGAGTCAGAGTGGAGCTGGGTTCTCGGGAGCTGGGCTTTGGGGACAGACAGGTTTTTCTTCCGAGGGGCTTCTGGGCTGCCTTGAGCCTGCAGCCTTTAGATGGTCAGCTGAGGCTGTCACCATGTGTGCCCCCCAGGGACTAGCTAGTTCAGCTGAGCGAGGCTGCAGCCCGATGGCCACATGCCACCTGGCCACACGCCGCCCGCTCTCCATCAGCTATGAGACATCACCTGGGCCTTCCCAGGCCAGCAGCCTGCTTGCGGGGGATTCACTGATATCTCCAAACGTCTCAAGAACTGACTCTGTTGACTCATGCTGGGGGCTGGGGGCCATCTACCAAGGGTTGGCCCTACCTGCACCCACAATGGTTGGTGCCCTCCCCACCACACACCAGAGCCCTGTCTCCCAACTGGACCCCCCCCTCCACTTGGAGCCCCATTCTTCCCCATACACCTGGAGTCCTGTCCCCCAGACCTGGATTCCCTACCCTTTTCCTGGAATCCCCCAGACACAGCTGGAACAAGCCCCCTCCCCGCAAGCTACCCTCACCCCTCACACATACACACCTGGAGTCCGGCACCGCCGCATCATCTCCCCTCGAGCCCCTTCCCCCCGCAGCAGCGCCTCCTCTAGCCGAGCCTTGGCATCCCTGGACTTCTGCAGGACCTGGGTGCTGACCTTGTCTGAGCTCTGCTTCCCCTGGACAGGACAGAGAGGGGCAGCTTACTGGGGGTGAGTAATCGGGGCTCCATGCCCTCCAGAGACCTGCTTTGGGGGAGTCCTCGGGGCCAAGTCCGCTCTGGTGATGTGGCTCTGTGTTGTCCAAAGGAAGGACCTTGTTAAAGCAACCCTCAGACGCTGGAGCACTCGGAGGGCCAACCCCAGAAGTGGCCCGGGCGGCTGAGCACCCTGGCCCGTGCAGCGGGCACATCCAGGCTGCAAATGGGCCACGGCTTTGGGCATGGAACGAAGAACAGGAGCAATGCTCGTGGCCCAGACAGAGGGCAGTCACAGGACGCGTCTGATGGCCCCCCGCCCCCGCCTACCTTGTACTCAAAGCAGGAGACGCAGAGGAAGAGCAGGTCCAGGATCCTGGTGAGCTGCAGCGAGGGCAGGTCGGCCACCCACCTGCGCACCAGGCTCTGCTCGGCCGTCTTCAGGATCCACAGGAAGCAGAGCATGAGGCTGCGGGTGGTGTCGGCACTCAGCACGCTGCACTGCTTGTAGGGCTGGCAAGGGGCACCGTGAGGAGACGTGACCAGGGGCATCAGAGCGGGCAGGGGGAGAGGGGGAAGCGGCTCTGGGGAAGGGGACCCGCCCAGAAACCCCTCGTCCCCACCCCTGCCTCAGGAAGCCCCCCCCCTCTGTTGTTCTTTGCTTGGAGCTGGACAATGGTATCACCATCTCCAGGGTGGGGGCCTGATCCAAACAGCCCTGAGCAGGACAGAGAAACCCCCATAAGACGTGTGTGATAGTAACAGGGAAACTGTAACCCCAAACAGCCCAGCGTGACGCAGAAGCATCGGATCGGTCTGGTTGTGTCTTCTGGACAGGCTAGAAGCGCCCCAGGGGGCCGATCAGTTTCTCTTGCCTAGGGAAGCTCTACCAACTACACCAGGGCACTGGACTGCGTGGCGCACTGCCCGTCACCGACAACACTGAGGGGCGGGGGTTCCGGAGCCCACCCTGTGCTCTGTAGAACTTGCACAGACGGACACCAAGGGGCCGCTGCTGGAGTCAAGGCAGGAAGCAGCGCCCGGTCGCTCTTGGGCTGCCGTCCACGGTTGCAGCCGCTGTGTCCACCCATCTCGTGGAGGGGCCGCCTTTCTTTCGTTCTTTCTGGGCGACCCTGGGCCTTTTGACCACGCAGGTGTCCTTCTCCAGAGCCGGCCTCTCCTGATGACACATTCTAAGGGTGTGAGGCCAAGGCCACCCTTGCCTCTACGGAGCGTTCTGGCCGTCCCTCTTTGGAGACAGACTCATGCCTGTATGGTTGGGGTTCGGGGTTCCATTGATTCGGCCCCAACTCAGAGCGACCCGATGTACAGAGAACAAAACATCGCCTGGCCCGGCTGCCCTCCTCGCGACTGTTCTGATGTTTGGCCCCTTGTCGCAGCCCCTGTGTCCGTCCGTCTGGCTGCCCCGCCGCTTTACCCAGCACGGTGTCCTTCTCCAGGAACTGGTCTTCCCTGACGACGTGTCCCAGGTACATGAGACAGTCTCACCACCCGTGCCTCTAAGGAGCGTCCTGGCTGTCCTGCCCCTAAGACAGACTGGTTGGTTCTTTGGGGGCATTTGATTATTCTTCACCAGCACCATGATTCAACCCGGTTCTTCTTTGGCCTTCCTTATTTGGGGGGAGAGCGGGACAGAATTCAGCACATGGCAGGCAGTAGGGTCTGCTGGCTTCCGCCTGGTCTTGCCCAGGCACCCCATGTCAATGATGGCAAATGCTGCCGGCGTTTCTCTTCCAGGCTGGACCGCAGAGGGATGGGTGTAAAGGCCAGGGCTGGGCTGGCTGACACCATGCATGCTCCCACCTGGCTCCCGGTAGCCTCTCAGTCTGACCAAGCATGAAGGTCATGATCTGCTGGGCCCATTAATCAGGTCCAGAACTCGGGGAGCCTGGTTGCTCTCAGCCGCTGGCTGGGCCCGTCTTGAGGCCAGTCACTCCTGGGATCCACACCTACAGTCACGCGGCCACTAACACTGCTCGGAATGTGCTGGCCACTGACTGTGAGCATGTGAGGCCGGCCCTGCTGGCCTGGGATGGGGGTCACTGCCGTAGCTGCTCCAACCAGAGCTTCTCCGCGTCTGTGAACAGGCTGTAACCTGGCTGGGAGTCCTCTCTGGCAGGTGGACTCTGGGCCCGTGGCTTCTCCCAGCGAGGCAGTTAACGGAGAACACAGATCCAGTTTTGATGGTGTGTGTGTAGGTGGGAGGGTGGGGGTGATTCTTCTTATCCAACAGCCAAACAGCTACTTTTAAAGAAATCCCAAGACCCAAGAGGCCTTTTCTTTCACCCAAAGCAGCCAAACATCCCCCTGACCCCCCTCTCCTGTGGGAAGCCAGCCTTAGTAAATTCCGATCTCCAAAGGCAGGGCTGGGTGGAGGGCAGAGGAGTGGGCATCAGCCAAGGGGCGGGACAGGCTGCAACCAAGCACGTGAAGATTAGCCAAGGGCCAAGCTTCTGTGTTCCTCCAACCTCTTCACTATACAAAGCTGTCCTGGGGGCACTGGGGGCTAGGCATTAGACTACTAACCCCAAGGATAGCGGTTCAAGGCTCCCCTGAAGATTTCCCGTCCTGGGGACCTTTCTCAGGGTTGCAGGGAGGCAGGATGGACTGGCCCGATGGCAGTGTCTCTGGCTTTTGGCCAGATCAATTTCACACTCACTCACAGCAACCCCAGAAGACAGGGTCGAATGCCCTGTGGGTTCCCAAAGCTGTAACACTTCAGGAATCTAGAAAGCCTTGTGTTTCTTCCAGAGAGTGGCTGGGGGGTTTGAACTGCTGACTTTGCAGATCGCATTCCAATGCATAACCACTGTGCCACCAGGACTCAAACTGGGGAAACTCCTTCTCCTTCCTTCCTCTCTGCTCCCTAGCCCTCCTGGGGCATGCCAGGGTCAAGGCCCTGCTGAGAGCTGCAGGGAAGAGAAGGCGCGGGTTCAACACTGGACTGCTAACCAGAAGGCCAGTGGTTCAAAATGGTCAGCCGCCCCGAGGGAGAAAGAGGAGGCTGTCTGCAACTCTTAAGATACACAGACTCAGAGAGACACTTAAGAAGCAGCCAAGCAGACATCAGAGAACTGAAAATCATATCAGTGGGTGCCCGCTTTACTGACACAATCACTGAAGACAAAC